CCCCACCCCACCCCTCTGCGGTAGCAGGACTGTGCCTGGTGGTCCTGCTTCACGGCATCCACCCAGCTGGGGACTGTGGTCACGTGCTCTGGGGACAAAGCCAGCAGTGACCTGGGGGCTGATCTCACAAGTTGCAGCTACATCTCTGACATCAGTCATGTGGCTCACTTCCCACTTGGCTCGGGTGTGAAAGCATAACCAATAGCTCCTCCCCACCCAGAGCCAGTTGCACAGCCTTCCTGCACAGCTGCAGGCATGACCCGTGTGTACATGCATGTGTGTATGCCTGCCTACGCTTCACGCAAGCTCTGCTGTCTCTTGTCCCCAGGACAACAAGGTGAATGGCGTGACCTGCTGCACCCGCCTGCTGGGCTGCACCTACCTGCACCCCTGGATCCTGCCCCGGCCTCACGTGTTCTCCGTGCCGCTGAGCGTGCAGGACGAGCTGCTGCTGCTGGGGAACAGGGCGCTCTGGGAGCACCTCTCCCCCGTGGAGGCCGTGGGCGCTGTGCGCCACCTGCACGACCCGCTGGCTGCTGCCAAGAAGCTCTGCACTTTAGCCCAAAGCTACGGCTGCCAGGACAACGTGGGCGCAGTCGTGGTGTGCTTGAACATCGGTGAAGACAACTGCACCTGTGAGGGGCAGGGCCTTGCTCTGCCGGGGCCGGGCGGCTTCCTGCCCCCGGCCAAGCCAGCCACACCCTCCTCCAGCAGTGGCATCGCCTCCGAGTTCAGCAGCGAGCTGTCAGCCTCTGAGGTCAGCAGCGAGGTGGGCTCCACAGCCTCCGACGAGCCCAGCGCAGCTGCCCTGGACGCCGGCCTCCTGCCTCGGCCCGAGCGGCGCTGCAGCCTGCACCCTCTGCCTCCGCCCCCGCCCAGCATTTTCCAGCGCCAGCCATCCTGCGCCACCTTCTCCAGCAACCAGTCCGACAACGGGCTGGACAGTGATGATGAGCAGCCGGTGGAGGGCGTCATGACCAACGGCAGTCGCCTGGAGGTGGAGGTGGACATCCACTGCTGCCGGAGCCATGGCCCAGAGCCTGCCCTGCCGCAGGCCGAGGACGGGGGCCCCAAGGACGATGCCAGTGGCCTCGTTCTCCATATCTGGAGGCAAAACAGTTCTGGCAGCAGCCTCCTGCCTGCCGTGGCCCGGGAGAGGGGGGGCGAGCTGCAGAAGTCACCCTCCACGTGCTGCCTCTACGGGAAGAAGCTGTCCAACGGCTCCGTCGTGCCCCTGGAGGAGAGCCTCAACCTCATTGAGGTTGCCATGGAGGCGCCCAAGAAGAAGACGGGCTATTTTGCTGCCCCCACCCAGTTGGAGCCTGAGGACCAGCTGGCAGTGCCACCACATCTGGAAGAGGAGGTGAAGGAGCAGATGAAGCAGCACCGGGAGAGCAGGGCAGAGCCGGCAGCTGGCGAGAAGGCCGTGGCCACCCCAGAGGAGTTCGACACGGCTCTGTGACCCTGCAGGGTGGCTCGCGTCTGTCCCAGCAGCACTGGAGCCAGGGTCCGTAGGGAGAGTACAGGCATCAGCTCCCTCCCTGCTGGAGCCAACAGCAGGCCTGGAGCTGTGCTCCCCGGCTACCTGCTCCAATGGGGGAGTCCCAGCCACTCCAAGAGCCCGTGGTCCCCACCCAGCTGGTGTGGGCAAGGCTGGTGGCTCTGCACTGGTGCCCCTTCTGTTAGGCTCGTCCCTCTTGGGCTCGTCAGCTCTGCCAGGTGCCGGGCAGGCAGATGGGGTGAGGGGGCCACAGCGGTGCTTGCGGAGCCCCGCAAAGCGCCCCTGCCCCAGCGGAGCTCGGCAGGGCCTGGCTGGGCGCCGACTCCCACACGCATTGCAAGCACTTTCATGGACTGCACTCGAGCCAGCCTGCTCCCGCCTGCCCAGCACTTTACTCCTGGGGCAGGGGGAGGGGCGCCGCGGTACGCGGGATCGCCAGCGGGTATTGTTTGGCACTGCGGGACGGGGCCTCTGTGCCCCTGGCAGGCACAGCCGTGGGCACTAGGGCACCTTGGTAGGGGGTCAGCCAGGGCAGGGGGGGAATGGGGGAGCTCCTTCCCCTTGGGATGGGTGGGGGTGGGGGTAGGGAAACGGTGCAGCTCTTGGGGCCAAGAGAGGTTGGGGAGGGGTTTGGCCATCTCCAGGAGAGGCACAACTGTGGGCAGTGCGCGGGGCTGGGGTACGAGTACAGGGCACAGCACTGCAGCAGGAGCAGCCCCTTGCGGGCACAGCCTGCGCTTTCCCATGTGCGGGCCTGGACCGGGAGGCACCAAGGCTGACGGCATCACCTCCATCCCTGGCAGCAGCGAGGTCAGGGCTGCCCATGGCCTGGAGGGAGCTGCAAGATGCAAGCATCTGCTGACTCCAGCTCCAGGTCCGGCACATGCCCGTGCTGGGAAATCACTAGCGGCAGATGCAGGTGGCTCTGGTCCAGGGCATGCTGACTTGCCGCACGGCATCTCCTAGCACTGCTCCTGCAGCCAAACCAGAAACAGCCTCCAGGCTGCACCCCGGGTGGATCTGCCCCTGCCTCAGCACCTGCAGTTGGTGCTCTGGGCTGGGGGAGCTCTGAGGGGCAAGACAGCCCTGGAGCCTCGCCGCACCCGTCCCGGGCAGGGTAGGACCCCCAGAATTTATTCGTTCTGTTTTGGAGAAAGTCTGAGAGACTTTTTTCCCAAAGCCTTTCTACAGGTTTGGGGTGAGGTTTCCTTGTCAAACCCAGGTCCAGTCTGAGCTGGGTTGTCTGTCAGAGCAGGGGGGTGGGGGAGGTTGTTCACAGTAAAATCACTCTAGCCCAGTCTTCCCTGGGAAGCACGGTCCTTCGGCTGTGCACGTGGGCAGGTGCGACAACCACCACTGGGTCCAGCCAGGACTTTGCCGGGTGGTTGCTGCCATGCGTCAGCAAATGTTGTGGAAAACAAGAGGAAAGAAACGATCCCAGCATGGATTTGGCTCTGAGCTTCATGGTTTCTTGTAATGTTTCATTTAACCTTGGAAACTGGAAGGAAAACTTGCTGTTTGAATTCAGAGAATGAGGCGAGTGCCTGAATGGGGCAGGGGGAGACACCACGGGAAGGGCAGAGAGTTCCTGTCTCATTTATCTAGGAGTCCTCAGCAAAAATGGGGAAGATCAAAAAGTATTCCTGGTAAACCTCCAGGCCCTTCCCAGCCCCTCCTGGCGGCAGCAGCGGTGCCTGTGCCTGATGTTGGGGCTGCGGTGGGTCCTTGCCTACCCTGAGCAGCCAGCAGGCGCCAGTCCCTAGCATAGGGCAACTTGACCCACACAGTCCTGGATTTAGGCGCTGGTGGGATGAACTGCCCCTCTTCCCACGTAAGAATGGAGCAGGCTCTGGGCGCTTGCACGTGCGGGATGCCGGGGGTCTGTGCTGGGCCTTGGCCTGGGGTGAAAGATCCTGCGTGTGCCTGACCACAAATTAGTCGGAGCCAGGAACGCCACAGGGAGCAGAGGCAGCGCCCGAGCAGCTCCGCTCAGGAGGAGCGGGCAGACCCAGGGCAGCAGCTCTCAGGGGTGGGGTGGAGCTTGGGGCCAGGCCCAGGGTGCAGTGATTCCCACCTGGGGCTGTCCCTGCACCCTGCAGCGGTGGCTGCCAGACGCCCCGAGCCAGGGCACCCAATGGAGCAATGGCAACGCAGGCAGCTGCCCTGGGCCAGAGCTGGCCAGCTGCACTCTGCCCCCAGCCCTGGTACCCTGCTGCAAAGGGCCTGGGGCTGGGCGGCTGCCTGGGCCACTCCTGTCCTGCCCTGCAGGGCAGCAGGTTCTTGGTCTTACCCCCCTGCTGCTTCCCCTCTGCTGCCTCGACCTGGGCCAGGCCAGCTGCGAGGAAGTCTCCTCCCCCCCCCAACCTGGACTGGCTTTGGGCCACCGCGTGGGCTGTGCACGGAGATGAGGGGAGACGTAGGGCGGAGGAGGGGGCATGGGCACTACCTCCCCCTGCAGCCAGCGAGCTGGTCAGGCCCAAGGCCAGCCGTCCCTGGGAAAAGAAGCCCATGCGGCCATGGGCGGCTGATGCAGATCAGCCCCCTTGGGCAGTGCACCTCCAGGGCGGTGGGCCCTGTGAAGGCGCTGCCTTCCCTGCTGCCCCACGCCACCCTGCATGGCTCAGCAGAAGGCACCGGCAAGAGCGAGCCGACAATATTGGGGGGCAGCCCCTGGCGCCCCATGAAACTCCTGAGCGGGGAGGGGTATCCTCCTTCCTGGAAGGGAGGAGCGCTCTGGGACCCCCTGCCCGGGAAGCAGCTGCTGCAGGCCCCTGCCCTGGCCCCAGGTTACAGACTGCCCTGCTCCATCGGGGGGGGAGGTCTGCTTGTCCTGGACTCATTGGCTTCTGCGCCACTTGCCAAAGGGCCGCCGGGGGCTCTGTGCAGGCCTTCGTGGCCCTGTTGCAGGCCGAAGCCTCATCCTGTGTTTTTGATATTTTTTAAATGCGTTCCCTTTTCTACCGTGTCCTGTGAGCCGGAGCATGGTAAAGACCCGCTGCAGCAGCTCGTGTTTGTGCAATAGCCTCTCTCCTGCCGTCAACGTGGGAGACGATGTTCCCACTCGCTCTCGCATGCTGCTCTCCCGATGCCCTGTCCGTCGTGTGAAGCTGCCCGTCGTGATGAACGCACCTTCGCCCCAGCTGGTGCCTGCTGCTGGGCAGAGGCAGACGGCCCTGGCTGCTGGGGTCAAACACTACTGCGTTGCCCCTTTACTAAGATGTAGAGAACCGTTCAGGCAGGAAGAATATTTTTGATCAACTTTTCAGCTGACTTAGCAATAAAGATTTTTACTTTCATCTAAGAGCACGGGCTGCGCGTGTCACTGCGCTGGGAGACAGTCGGCTCCCGGGATGCGGCCGGCTGCACCCACACTCACCCCCTTGGAGGCCTGTCTTGGAGGTGGGCCCAGGGCTTGGCAAGGCCACGTGAGGTCTGGGCACAGCCTCGCCTCTGGCTGCTGTGGGGCAGCTCCCGGGGACCCGGGCAGAGGGGAGCGAGTTGCCATGACCCACATGCTGCGTGGCTGCCAAGGATGGGCGAAAAGGAGGGCAGGTCCTGCGCCCGGAGCCCAGGGCAGATGGGTAGCAGGGAGGTCACTGCAGCCAACCCAGACATGGGGTGCTTTGTGCCCACAGCTGCCCTCAGCATGAGGCAGTGGCTGCTCGGGGCTGTGGGGAGGCCGGTGCCCGGCCCTGGCAGCTGTTTCCGGTGCCCGCCTCCACTTGAACCTTCGGCAGGGATAGCTTCACCCTTAACGCTGTCAACGCTGCACCTGATGAACCATTAGCCTCGTGCCCAGCACAGGCCTGGCCACCCCTGGGTGGGGGGCACTGCCCACTCCTGTCCTCCCCCACAGTCAGGGCCAGGGGAGGGGCTCCCTCATCCGGCTGGCGCGCTCAGCACGAGGCTGCTGACACTGCTGCCAGCTCCTTCATCCAGTGTCCTGGCTGCACAGGAACAATGGCTGGCACAGCGTCCCCCTCTCCCCCCGTGCCTGCAAGACACAGCGGCTGCAGCTTTGCCTCATCTGCAACCTGCTGCAGCACAACTACCGTCCCAGAGGGCCCAGCTCCCTGCGTGCCTGGGGCCAGGACACGGCTTGGGCACTGCCAAGCCCCAGCTCCCTCTTGCATTGCCCTCGTGAGGGGAAGGGGCGATGGAGCCAGCGCTGACAGGCAGCAGGGAGGAGGCTGCAGACCGGCACTGAATTCCAGCTCCCTTTATTTGAGGTTAAGCGAGGGGTCCAGGCCCAGCCCCGAGCAGAGCTGAGTCCCAGGCTAGGGCTGGACCCCCTGGCTGGGGCAGGGAGGGGAGGAGCAAGCTATCCACAAGGCAGGGGTCTGCCAGGCTGCTGCTCCAATGGGCAGTGGTCCAGCATCAGTGTCGCAGGAGAGGGGAGCCGGCGCAGCACACGTTTGAACAGCAGCACCAGGGAGACCCTGCCCTCTCGGCTGCAGCGCGGCTGCCCTAGAGCTCGTAGGCACGTGCCGGCTTCTCCTGCAGCCGGCAGACAGTGCGGAAGCCCCGCACGGCCAGGCCGGCGCTCAGCGCAAGCACCAGGGCCGCCAGGCAGCCGAAGAGTCCGGCGGCGATGTCCGCCCCGTGCAGGCTGCAGCTGAAGCCCTGGTAGCCCTTGCTCTGGTACAGCTGCTCCCGCTCCTGGCACAGCGGGGAGGCGTAGACGGCCTGCAGCTGGTGGAAGTAGAAGTACAGGGCGGGCAGCAGGCCCAGCGCCAGCAGCATGTCCAGCGCGCACTCCAGCAGCAGCCAGGCAGGGCAGCGCCAGGGCAGCCGCAGGGCCCCCAGCAGCACCAGGAGGAGGGCGAGGGCCATCAGGGCCCCCCCCACCGCCATCGAGGCCCTGGCGATGGGCAGCTTCATGCGGTGGAACTGGGCATCAAGCTGCCGGGCACGCTCCCCGTCCGGCCCGCTGAAGCCACTGTAGGCGCCCCCGTACTGGTAGTAGTAGATGCTGCCCAGGTCGGGGATGCCCGTGTAGCCGCCCACGGAGCCGTAGGACACGGAGCTGCAGGCCAGGATCAGCAGGCCCAGCACTGCCTCCAGCATCTGGCAGCAGGCTGCACGGGAGAGGGTGTTAGCACCCGGGGGCTCTTCCCTCCTCCAGCCTGGCCACCACGGTCCGTCCGTGCTTGCCTGTGAAGGCGCTCAAAGCCCAGGGGAGCTCGGCCCAGGTCAGAGCCCATCTGGGGGAGCCCGGGGCAGCGCTGACCTAGGCTGCGGGGGCTGTTCTTGCACTCGCTGAGCCCAGGAAAGGGGGTTTATGCTCCACAGGGCTGACCCCTGACCTCTGCCCAAGCCCCAACCTCCCAGCGAGGCAGCCCGGGACCGGGGGACACCAAGTGCTGCCTGCCCCCCCCCAGGCGCTGCACCCAGGGGCTGCTGGACTCGTGCAGGGCTGCGTGGTCGGGCCCCTGCCCAGGACCCAGCTGCCTGGGGCCGGCCAGGCCCTGCAGTGCTAAGGAGCTGGGAGCCCCCTCCGAAGCCGGGCGGGATCTGCAGCCGCAGCTCGGGTCAAAGCTCCCGGGGCCAGGCCCCGCGTAGGCCCTGCCAGCCCGGCTCGGCCCCGGCCCCGGCCCCGGCCCCGGCCCCTCCCGGGGAGCCCGAGTACGGGGCGG